CTAATGAAACCCAACTCTGGCCTTCAGAGACCTGCATAGTAGAGATTGGCATCCCCCACCACACACCAGCTGCACACTCACAATAACACTGGTGTGACTGGGGCTACACAACTGACAATGACATCATAGCTTTACCAAGCCAAGTTATAACACTGCAGGGATAAAATGGGAAATGGTGTTGGGCGGACAATTAACCCTATAGGAGACAGACTGGCAACAAAAGGCTCATAACAGAAAGTTTTACAAATCCACAACTAACTTTTTAAACATAGATCAAAGTTCCTTTCAACATGCTGGAAATTATATATATATATAATTTAGATTGCAGTGTTAAATCATTCTGCTGAAATGGAAGAATACGAAGCACTTTTCCTGTTTTAGAGAATTAGGTTTGATAGTGAATTCTGCCAAACAGCTTATCCTTTATCCTTACATGTGTTTTTGGCAACAAAGGGTTACATTTCCTTATTAACCTGTAAACTTGTGGCTTCCAGGAGACTGGAAAACCAGCAGGGTTTGGAATAATGAAATAATGACGTTTGTTTGCTCATCTGGCAGATTATTCAGTCAAGTCTTCTCAGTACACCTCCCAACCTTTTGTTTTCACAAGCTACTAGCAAATGCACAGCCCTTTATTACTGCAAGTCTCCATAGACCATAGATGCAGAATGAAGATGGCGAGCAATTGCAAGGCTGGCAGCAAATGTAACATGTGGGAGAGATGGGCCCTGCAAAGTAGCAGCGTAGACCCACATTGCTCTCCAGGGAACAGAGCATTTTATGATGTCCCAGATGGACCATTCTGTTAAATACACAAGCTTGCTGCCAGGGTTACAGGCAGTGGCCCTGAACTGGAACCTGGAGAATAAAATGTTATTTGTGTCAAATACTTGCTTGTTCCTGGCAAAGGAAGTCCATTGCCATCCCTACACTGGGGCACTCTGATGTCTTTTTTGCCACTACCAATCCCTAAAAATTGCCCTTTTATGTTACTTTTTTTTTTTTTTTACGTTATTGCTGTCACATAGGAGGCTAATAGGTGGCAGGTTCTCTTTAAGGGGGCATTAGAGGTCGATTACTCCCCTAACCTCTCTACTCCATTTATGCTGATCAAGCACAGATAGTGATGAATGACCGTTCTAAAAGGGAAGTGGCAAATTCACTGTCACTTCTGGGTTCATTTACTGGGGGAAAGATGAGAAAACAGAAGTTCGCTTGTCTCCCTCCCTCTACCCACCAACACCCACCATGCTGGTCCCAGGAGGGGCAGCGGAGCCCAGGATACCTGGCGGGACACACACATTTCAAAGGCCGTGGAAACGATCAAGTCCATAGAGCGACAGCAGACAAAAGAAATACCCTTTACTTCAGGGTATAGAGGAGTATGTACCTACAACATTATCATCATAGAGGACATCCACAGACCTTTTTACTACCACAGTAAACTCCCAGGTAACCCTCACCCACAGGGATTGGTAGGTGCTGGAAAACTGTAGTTTCTGGATGCTTGAGAGTTTAGTAATTCTCAAGCAACCCCCCCCCCACCCACGGCTGCTATTGGCCATTTCACATTGCAATAGCCAATAGCAGGCTGGCTATTGAAACCCCGCCTACTGAGCAGAGAAACAGACATGGGAGAGAAAGTTCTCTCTGAGGTCTGCTTTTCTGCTCAGTGGGCGGGTGCAATAGCCAGCCTGCTATTGCAATAGCCAATAGTAGCCTGCCTATTGAAACCCCGCCCACTGACCAGGGGAGCGGCCCCGGCGAGAGAAAGTTCTATCTCAAGTCTGCTCTTCTGCTCCGGGGGTGGGTACAATAGCTAGTCTGCTATTGCAATTTGAAATAGCCGATAACAGAAAGTTCTCCCCCAGGACTGCTCCTCTGCTCAGTGGGTGCCAGCCGGCACCAAGATGTAAACAAAGAATTTACTTAGCAACTAAATACATTTACTTGCTAATTAATTTTTTTTACTGTGCATAATTTTTTTGGGTTTGCTGGTTGCTTCAATGCCGGATAATGGGGAGTTTACTGTACAATACTACTACTACTGGTGATCTTAAGGTGCCCATATTCCTTGTGATTATCGCTTGATTTCCGAGCAAAAAT